TCCTAACCTGAGCAGTGGAAATAACCTCCACCGCATCACCATCACATATATCATTATCACATTGCATACTTAATAATTAAATACGCGGTAAAACAAGTTCTAAGCTCTAGTAGACGTGGACGTGCGACATGCATGTGTCTTTCAAAATTAATTTCTTGGAAGAAAACAATGAACATTTTTAGGAGTCCCCCACATCGTATCATTTCTAATATAATTTATATGGGGTTACAAATTCAAAACATAAGACTATAGTAAATTTTTTACACACAAAAAAAAATCTATCTCTTGGATGTGTTCTGAATTTTTCTGTTGAGGATGAACCTCGACCTGCACCTAACCTTTTGCGTCTTGTCTATTAGCAACACAACCAAATCTTCAATTTAAGGTGGAACTTTAGCACCCTTGGATGATCTTGACTCTGGCATGGTCATTGATAGGTCTGAGGGAGGTTTCCAATCTTCATGCAGAGTTGCATATTCATCTAGAGTTCTTTGACTTCGAATCAAACAAGAAAAATAGTGACTCCTGGTGCTACGACAGTACCTTGGACTGCTCCTTATATAATGCCCTGCTTGTTTCCTTAGCTATTGGTTAGCACCCTTTCACTATTTACTACCAAAACAAAATCATAAGAGATAAGACCTTGTATAATAACTAAAATGGCTTCTGAGAACTTAAATCTAAGTTACATAAAAGAGAATTGGGTCAAAACATGAGAAAAGTGACATAGAATAGTGCTCCAGAATTAAAAAAAAGGTTGTACACAGTGCAGAGAGCTCCCGCTCTGTGCGGGGTCTGGGGAAGGATGTTAGTGGCAAGCCTTACCCTCGTCTGTTCAATGCAAGGAGACCGCGACTCGAACCCGGGACCTTCCAGTCACAGGAGACGAAACATAATATGTTAATTAATATTTCTAACAATGCAAATTGATTCAGAGCACGAGAAAAATACTCAATGGAAATTACATATATCTCAGACTCATTTGATCCTAAAAAGAGTTATGCACGTGACGAAACAGACCAATCCAAAGGAGTGTTATGGCTATTGCAATAATAAACATGCAGAAGTTTTACTACCTTATCAAAAATAACTTTGAAGAGCAGTCAGTGGAAAAAAAAACACAAATGACTCTTTATTTTGAAGTAGTAGTTGTTTTTCTCCAGCACATATGAATAGGTTTAGAAAGAATCGAGTGGCCACTCATACCACAGTATATAACCATTATACTATTTACATAATCCTTGGCCTTGAAATTGTCATAAATAATCAGTTGTCTTCTTAAACTAAATATCAAGATCACCTTGACAAAGTTGAAGCAAAAATATTACCAAAAAAACAGAGCTTACTAGGGTTAGAGCATGTTGCACCAGATATTTGTTATTTGCAGCTCATTATGGTTGAATGTATAAAAAAGGAAAAGTAGAGCCATGTTGGATTATTAATAAAAATAGTAAAATGCAAACAAAAAATATTTTTTATAAAATCAATTTTTCAATGATCTAAGGCATAAAAGCAAATCACTTGACAGTCAATAAGTCTGATATAATAATTGCTACAACTCTGGTCATTAACCTTGCTTTGATAAGCTCTCAGCTTCCATGTTTCAAGACCCAGAAGCATCAAGTTCCTCCTCCAAAATAAACCGTATGTGTGAACCCATGAAGAACAGTCACAACGTTGGTATAATTCTGAAATACAAAGTCCAGAAATAGAATAAGGAAGTATGGAAGAATATTGATGAACTGCTTTATTTGTGAACCCATGAAGTATAGCTTATTATGACTACAATTCACAGTGCAATCCGACCTTCAAATGAATATGGTCTCAGTATGATCATTCCCTACGTAGAGTGCTAAGGGATGGCCAATTACTCAATTCCCAAATGAACACCCATTTATTTCAAAAATGTTTCCATGGTGCTTAGAAGAAGAAAAAACAGGAATAAGCATTGACCGTTTAAAAATAACAAACTTAGTAACATAGAGTTGAGCTTAACAAAACCTGCTGCTGTAATCATAGAAATCCTCGAGGTCAGCATCTTCATCATCTCCACCATCTCCATACCGCAACTTGCAATGCCCCTTTGCATCCATGTGTTTCCTGACAGCCTCTAGACTGAAGAAGCATCTGTCACTGCATGCAACAGAGGAAGATAAAATGATGCTTCACCTGCAGGTAGGATAACTAATTCAACGTGAAGATTAAACTGCATGTTTGCACACACACATCATTTGATTTTAATCCGATGAAAATGCATACCCTTCAGTCCGACATAATTAAGAAGACCGCTGGGACCCTTCAAGTATTCACTGTTAGGTACGAAAAAACCCATGCTTCTTGCATGTTTGAAGTAGAATCATCAGCCAACTCCATCTCACTTGGGTCAACTTCAACCCACTCTTCCTCCTCATTGTCATCTTCATCCTCCTCTACTGGAGATGGAGCTCTGCGTGGGAGCCGTTCATCCAACAATAGTAGCTTGAAAACTCATCTGCAATACCAAAAGTTAAACCTTGAAAACTACAGAAAAAAGCACAATAGTAGCTTCAACATTGCACCAAAAATTGCCACAGGCACAACCTATCAAATTCACATACATTATCATTGGTTTAGACATATCTCTTTTTTTTGGTAATTTGTGTTTGCTTTTCACTGGCCAATTCAGAATGCAAGTTCATTAACTAATGTGGCTGTTCCTAAGCTATCAGTGCTAGAAGCTTCACCATGAGTTACCCAGAAAAAGACCATAAATCTTATCCTAGAAAAATCTAGATCTTTATTTTCTACGGACTGGGCGCAAGCAACATTATTCCTTAAATCATTACATCTCTTCAATGTCAGTATCATATCATCAGGTAAATGCATAATGTCAAGAAGAAACAACTGTGCCAACTAAATATAATAAACATAAAAAGCACTACAGGTACGCTCACCATCATTTGTAGATTTTTATCTCTACTATAATCTCTGCAATAGCACATTATAATTGAACATCGCAAAAACTTATAAGAAAATTTGCAAAGCATCCATATGCAAGCTAACAGGAATCTGGAACCTATCTACGGAAATGAAAAAGAAACACATTCACCGAAACTATCTTTAAATAAGCAAATTCGGGAGGATCTGATGCGAATATACAACGCCTCCTAGTCCTAGTACCATAACCTAATTAACCTCTAGCATCAATAAGCCGCCAATTAAAAGGTCAATGGACATTTCCTCACGGCAAACAGCCAGACAAGATCGAAGGGATAGGGAAAAGAAATTTTACATCAGCGAGGAACAAGAGATGGTCCTCATCAGCAAACTCGGGGAGTGGTACGGCCTTGATCTCCCCTGAGCCAACTTGGTGGCGACCTCCAGGATGCTGACGAGCTCTTGTGTGTACGGGTACGCCGAGAGCTGGAGTGTCCCAGTCTCGCGGTGCGCCGGCCGAAGGTGAGGGCAACCCAATCGCCGGCCTGGTCCCGCGCCATGGCGCGCCACGAAGAGCAGGCGCCGCCGGATAGCAGGTCCGGCGCGCCCACGCGGGTCATGATCGCCACCAGGAGGCGAGGCGGGGTGGCGGGAAGGGCCACGGCGGCAGCGGCAGCGGCGGCGCGATGGGGCGGAGTGCGGGGGGCACGAGCCACGGGGTCCGGCAATTTCTTCCTTTACCACGACAATTCCTTCCTTTCTCATGCCAAATCATTCCTTTATTGCGGCGCGCTGATCACGTGTGGGTGTGGTCGCGGCGTGGGTGGGCGAGGAGGCGGGGCGTTGCGTTGAAGCCTAGGGCGATGCGCTGAAGCCTGGAACTGTCCGTGGCTGCATGATCGTGGTGAAGCCTCCTCAGAGCATATCTGGATCGTTGGTTTTCATACTGAGGGGTTTTCTGGGTGCATATTCTGGTGTGTATGGAGGAAATATCATCTTTGTGGGGGACAAATTTCTAGGTAGACTGAGCATAATTCTGATTGATCCCTTATAGTAGAGATATATACTCACCGCTGTGATCAACATTCAATATTGAATATTACAATAATTATCCAATAATTTATTACATAAGTAAAGAATATAAAGGAGAGACATAGATTAGAGTACGCTAGACTAAAGATACATCTCAGTTATATCGCTGTTAAACCAAATAGCGATGTTAACGAAGCTAAAATATTACTAACAATATCAACAAAACAATTAATAATCGTGTGACGATAGGTGCTACGAAGAACCATAGCGAAACCATAATAATAAAATTATAACAAACTATTTTTTAAAACATTGCTATCGAGTGACCCACCTCGGAATTGGAAGTGACGAGAGTAAAACAGAGAGTGCCGTGCGCCTGTGCCTGTGATTCTTTTTTTTTTCATTTGAAGAATTTTGTGTTGGGCACCGACGCGCACGGACGGCCCAGCACAGGCCGGCCGGAAGCTGCCTTACGGCGACACGTTTTCCGGTCCGGCCCAGCAGCATCAGGGAGGAAGGTTCGCTCGGCTGCTGGCTCGGTGGCGGCTCCGCGTGCCGTCCCTCCTATAAATCCGAGTCCTCGCGGCGTCCAGTGGGCATCAGAAGCTCACTCGCTGGGCGCTGCCGGCTGCACCCACTGGCCCACTCCCACTCACTCCGCTGATATTTCGTTTTCGCCCCCTCCCCGTCCGTCGCCGAGGCCCTCCGCGGCTCCGCCAGGCAGATCAGACCCATCCATCCAGGAACCGGAAGGTGAGCGCCGGGAACGAACCATCCGCTCTCCTAGCTCAGATCTGTAGCCTGGCGTCGCGTTCGCGCCTAGATCGTCGCCTGTCACGATCCTTGCGGTTCTAGATCTGCGGTTTTTCCTTTCCCTGGTGGTCGAATCCTTCCATCCACCAGGAGAGCTCGTGTGTTCCTTTTGATCTAACCCTGTGCCGAGAGCCAGAACCGAAGCGCCGTATCTTTGATTTGCTCGGTTTCCCGCTGTCTTCTGTGATCTGATATATGCGTCCGGATCTGATCTGCTGTACGTAATCGTCAGGTGAACCATGAGCGCCGTGGCGGTTTCGTCGTCGCTGAACCCGGACGCGCCGCTCTTCATCCCGGCGGCGCTGCTGCAGGTGGAAGACTTCTCGCCGCAGTGGTGGGACCTCATCACCACCACCGCCTGGTTCCGCGACCACTGGTCCCGCGAGCACGCCCACCTGGACGAGATGGCCGAGCAGCTCGACGCGGCCACCTCCTGCCCGACGAGGAGGACCTCTTCTACGACGAACAGCCCGAGCAGGCCCCCGCCGTCGTCGACCCAGCGCCCGCCGCCGCCGCCGTCAAGACAGGTACGGATCTACCTCTTTCTCGCTCCGATTCTGGATCTGCGTTAAAGACGAATCGCAGTGAGCTCATCTGTGAACGTTGGTGTGTTTTTTCCCTCCTCCGCCAGATGAGGTGCTCAAGACGCTGAACCTGACCTCCCCGAAGGCCGGCGACGCCCCACGTGGGTTCCGGGAGAAGCTCAGGCACTCCGAGAAGCCGACCAAGTACGCCGGCAGCCCCAAGAGCAGTGCCCCCACGTGATCCACCAGCCTCGCTAGGTTCGCATGGGGAACTCAGCAAGGCTGCTGCCCCTCTTGCAGCCTCTGCTCCTGGCTGCTACTGCCGTTGCGGTCTGCTCTGCTCTTTCAAAGTTTCAAGTCAAGTACTGGTGGTTCGAGTTTAGTAGTAGTACAACTGTAGAAGTTCCTTTTGTATAGCAATCAAGTAAAAAAAATGACCAAAAATATAACAAAACGCAGCTGTTAGTTCACTGCTGCTGCTGCTCTAAGTTGTGTTAAGTCCTCCGGTGTGTCTAGGTCTAGGGAAACCCCGCAAAAATGAAAGAGGGTGAAGGTGGAGTCCCAGTGTTAGAATCAAGGATGCACCTTTTGTAAGTAAAATGTGTGATGTGCAATGGCAGGCAGTCTAATGTTACAACTAGCTCTTCTACTCTTCTTCTTGGTCCACTCTGATGTGCTATCCTATCATCTTTATCTCTGTCTCTGACCCTATAATACACCTCTCAAATTATCCTACAGCCGTCAAAGTCACACAGAGAGACCACGTTAAAAAGAGAGACCACGTTAAAAAGATTAACTCTCACGGATTCTCTCTTCTTACTCAACCACGGTCGACCTTGTTTGGATCTGCAGTGGCCCCCTCACCATCGCGCCCCCCCTCACACACGCCGTGACCCCTCACGCACCGTGACCAGGGTTTGATCCTCATGCTCATGCGATTGTATTTTCCGAAAAAAGAAACATCGTCCTCTCCCCTCCCCGTACCGATCCCTGTCTTCCAGATCGCCATCGCGATGGCGACTCCTCTCCTCTCCTCCATGGACGAACACCAGGCGACGCGCGTGACTCCACTCCCGCGGCCGTTTGCATTGATGCCCTCGCTCTGAGCAATCCGCCGGCGGCGGCTCTCGGCCACGATTATCGCCGCACGCGGGGCTGCGGCGGCGCCCGGCCGTGGGTCTCGGGGTGCCCTGGGCGGCGGCGGCACTCGGCCACGGTTCTCGGCGCACGCGGGGCCCTGGGATCTGGTGGCGCCCCCTCCCCATCGCCCTGTTGATCCAACAACACCCCCTCCCCATCCTCATCATCAGCGGCGCCCCGTCCTTTGGTGCCAGATCAGCGCCCCCTTCGTGGATGAAGACGCCCCTTCCCTACCTCGCAATGGATCGGAGAAGCACAAAAGACTGAGAACTGTGCTTCTTCTCATAGTTCTCTGTGGCGCTAGCATGGTGATTGGTGATGGTGTCCTTACCCCAGCAATCTCAGGTGGATACAGCTTACTACCACAATAATCTATTTGATTGCCTCTCATGTTGAGCAAAATTGCAGTTATCAATCTTTTCTATATATTTATCATGCTTCATTCTGCCTGTTCTTTTCTTGCAGTCCTCTCATCGATGTCTGGATTACAAGTTCGAGCTACTTTGAGCTACTGGTTTAGAGCATAGTAAGTACTCCCTCCGTCCATTTATCTTGTTCATCTAAGCAATTTTTTTTCTCCAAAAGTCTCCTTCGTATTAGTTGGGACCATGAGTTTGGCATCTCGTACGTGCTGCGTATTTGATGCTCATCGGCTGCTCCTTGTCTGCAGCGGCGGATCCAGGAATAAATTAGGGGGGGCTGAACAACACATATCTCCGACTGCTGCTTGATCTTAAGCCTCAGCCCCACCTACACTATAGAACTTTGCATAAAAATTCATGGAGGCTCCATAGGGGTTCCACTGCTGCGGTATGGGTATGGGGGCTCGAGCCCCCCCACCCACACCGTTGGATCCACCCCTGGTTGTCTGCATTTATTGCTCCTTGGCTGTGACTCTTAGGCTGCTCCTTGCCTAAAATGCAAATCGGCGTTGTTTATTGCTTCTTGGTCAATGTGCCGAAGGCTAATACGATGGAGACTTATGGACGGAGGGAGAACAAATCATCTCTGTGAACTCACAATTCTTGATGCAAAAATACTGAAAACACACCTGGTTGTTATGGCAGTTGCAAATTTATAGCAATATATGTAAATTCGCTTGATAAAAGGAGTAGAATAAATTCTAAAAACCTATACTTTTGTGCTCAAAATTATCACAAAACTACACACTTTAGAACCGTTATCAAAGAACTATACAATTTTTTGCACATATTATCATAGTATAGAACATTAGTGGATGAACGAAAATGCTTGCATTTTTTTTTCTGTATTTCTGTGTCTTTTATGAAGATTACCTTTTATCATTTATAGATTCTCTGGCATACTTTTTAGAATCACCAACCATCCTGTTGTGCTTCACATGCAATTTATGTCCTATCCAGGTAGTTCTCCTTTCGTGCATTGTGTTGGTTGGTCTATTTGCCTTGCAAACACCGAGGTACTAAGAAGGCTGCATTCATGTTTGCACCAATTGTCATCATCTGGCTGCTTTCCATTGGAGGAATTGGTTTATTCAACATTCTTCATTGGAACCCAAATATATATCAAGCTGTCTCCATAATATATGGTTAAGTTCTTTAAAAAGACAGGTAAAGATGGATGGATTGCTTTAGGAGGGATCCTTCTTTCTATGACAGGTTAGTAGTTAGTTACTATCAGCCCAACAGTGGATGAGTGGAGTGATGTATCATGTTTGCCTTTCCCTTACTTTTTTTTTATTATAACCTGGTTGCCATTTAGGATTTAATCACCAGGTCTACTTTCCACTTTCCAGACAGTGAAGCAATGTTTGCTGACCTTGGTCATTTTACGAGTGCATCCATCAGATGTACAGTTAGATCAAGATATTTGGAACAAGATATGTGCATGCTAATATCCTTTACTACATTATAGAAAGAGATTTTACTGTAATTGTAATAACAATAACCATGGTCCATGGAGATGGATGAGCCTGCATTTTAGGAAGACCATATCAGCTAACTGAACATAAGCAGTTATGGACTGTTAAATGGACACAATAAAATTCTTAAATTTGCTTGCTAGCTGTACAAATGAACAAGTAATATTAGTTCATTTTCTTTATTTTGCCACAGCTCAACCATATTTACGTGCTGTCAGATTTCATAAGCATTGTACAATGCATGTGTGTGTGTTCAACTTCACTAATCTGGATTTGAATATACAATTATAGCCTTGACAGTCCTGAAGCACAAAGAGATGTGCTTAAGGCCCAGAATAGGTACAATCTTCAGCATGTATATGTTATCTCTTTATCATACATCTGTTCTTCCTGTCTGAAAATGACTGAGCGAAGTTCCTGTTAGGTGAAGAATCTAGTGGTGTTGGTCCTGTTGAATCTGAAAAAGTTCCTGAGATTCCTAGCATGGAAGAGGCTATAACTAAGGCTGGGCGTGGACGCTGGCCTACGCAACGGGCGGAAAAGGCGGCGTGCGTGCGGCGACAATGGTTGAGGCGTGGCTGCTGGCGGCGCTAGCTGATGTGCCACGGAGGTGACGGCGACGGCGACACGCCCGCGGTGTAGCTGACCCACAACGGCGATGACCTGAGGTAATGCGAACGCCGACAGCCCAATGGTGAGTGGCGTAGGACGGTGAGGCGGCCATCTGACGCAAAGACAACGATGGCGACAGGGCCGTGAGTTTTTTATCCCTGTCGATGTTAGGTTCGAAATTTAGGGAAAATTAGAATCTGAGATGAAATTCCTCTCTGAGGTATAGCCGTAGATAATATACTAGTTCTTCAGTAAGTTGGATGGATGATGATAACATGAACCTGAAATCCAGTTTTGACTGATTAAGCATGACTCATGATGAAGCAAGGTCGTTTAAACACGGAGCAAAGCTGTACTCTAAGCAACTAGCGTAAGTCGCGTAAGCCACGATGACATTGTTATCTAGTACTGGCCAAGTCAAATGAAGTAGTGTGCTACTGGTAAGTCAAATGGAGAAAAATCCTTGTTTTTCTCTTCACGTATAAACATCCGCCTTGTTCGCTTGGCTATATATGCTAATATCCTTTACTATTTTTTTTGTAATTGTAAGCAATAACCATCGTCCATGGAGATGGAGATGTTTTTTCTCACAACAAATCAACATAAGCAGTTATGGACTGTTAAATGGAATCAATAAAATTTTCACCATGGCTATTATCACCATTTTTTAGCGAGCAACCAATATTTACGCTGTCAGATTTCATAAGCATTGCATCAGTTCTTCCAACGCCAACACTGTTAGGGCTACTTTGGCATGCTCTTTATCATACATCTGTTCTTCCATGGGATCCCGGAGGGTTGGAACATCCCATGAAAAAGTTCGAATTCCCGTATTAACGAGGCTGGGCGAGAAACCGTGTGGTGGCTTTCCCTACGCCAATCTGTCGCGCTCTTTGGAAGCCCATCCACTCGGGGCCAGAAGTCCATTTCCCTTCGTTTTCCACGCGAAAGAAATCCACGAGTCATGAGGTCGGGAGCGTTTCCCCTTCCCCGACCTCGAACCGCTCTCGACTGATTAAGCATGACTCATGATGAAGCAAGGCGTTTAAACACGCCACTAAGCAACTAGCGTAAGTCGCCGCGATGACATCACCTTCGGCAGCTCATGGCCATCCCAATGGTGAGTGGCTTAAGCGCGCAAGCATCTCCAAATTGGCAACAACATTTTCAAAATTGGCTTCGATGCGTGCATCTCCGATGCCCGTAGATGCATCGACGCGGATCCAGACGGTTCCTCATGCTGAAGCCAAACCGCATGGCTGGCTTTCCATGCGCTAGCGGTCTTTGAAAGCCCATCGACATAGAAAGTGGAGGTATAGAGGAGAGAGAAAAGATTGGTGTCATTGATATGTCGGTCCCACGTAATGAAGAAGGTAGAGCATTCTCAATCTGCTGCAATATTTCTTTTCTGTAACTTTTAATTCAGTTTTGTCAATCCCCTATATGAGATTTTTAGGGAAAGGAGACAATCAATCTGGTAGAGACATCCTATATCCACTGGCATCAAAACGTGACACACAGGTAACGTGAACTGAATCTGTCCTTGTTACGTTAGCACTGCCACCTGTGAACTGAAGTCACGATCAGGC